TAATCGCCATGTCGGAGACTGCTAGGACTGATCACGTCATCAAGTTGTTCATGGACAACTGGGTGCATGACTTTGGACTGCCAAGGACCATTGTTAGTGATAGATATGCCCTGTTTACTAGTGAGATGTGGAAGAAGGCCGCTGAACAGATGGGAAGCCAGCTTCAGATGACTTTTGGGAATCATCCCATAGCAAATGGGCAGGCTGAACAGATGAACCGTGTGGTGCAGCATCTGCTGAGGCTTTACATCAAGCCCATCCAAGATGACTAGGATGAGAAACTACCTCTCATCGCCAGTCTGTACAACAATGCTGTACACAGCACCACCGGCGGCAGTCCTAATCAGCTGCATCTAGGATGGAAGCCTAGATCTGCTCTAGACTTCCTCCTGCCTGAAAACCAAACTGCTCCAACTCTTGGAACCATTGAATTTGGTTTCTAGTATGAGAAATTGTTGCAGCAGACTGTCGAACACATCAAGAAATCTTAGGAAGCCATGATTGCTTCTGAGAACAAGCATCGTCGACAGTCCACATTTCAGGTAGGGGAACCTATCTAGGTCAAGGCTAGTGAGTTGGGACAGGAGTTTGGCATCTGTAGAATTCTAATGCCTTAGAATTTTTGTCCTTGAGAAGTCTTAGACATTGTGGGTAATGATTTGGATGGTCCTTGTACGTGATTCGTATCCCTGGTCACCTACACACTTAACCCGTGTTTCATGCCTCAAAGCTCGCACCTTTTGCTAAGACAGAACAGTTCCCATCACAAAGGTCTATGCTGCCCCCAACCATGGATGGCCACGTGGACGCCGACGATATCCTGGAGCACAGAGACATGCTTGTTCCCAAGCCAGCTGGCAGGGGTAGGCCGCCTAAACCTGTGAGAGAATATAGACTACGGTTCATGCATCATACGGATCCTAAGGAAGATCGATGGTTTACAAGGGAGGAACTGGTCAGGACAGCTCCTCATACCGTGGCCGAGTATGAGAGGAAATGGAAGGGGAAGGCACCAGCATGAAGCATCTCAGCGGACTTTCGAAGCTAAGGGGGATGGAATGTGAGGAACGAGCCCTCACAGGGCCCCTATCAGACATACACATGTTCTGGGCAGAGGCCCCCAGCAAGCTGAGTGCCTGCTCTAAGTGAAGGCGGGCCTGAATATTCAGGCTCTTGCAGCACGCCAATTGGAGTGGACGTGTGAGCCTCACTAAGTTGCGCCGTACAGTTGGCCCGGGCCTTGGCAGTTGCGCCTGGGCATATACACAGAAAGCAGGGCCGATACATCTTGAAGTGGCCACATGCCTATGCAAAAGCAGTATTGTCGACGTACTTATCCCGGGGTCCTGTGCAAATGCAGCAAACGGCCCAAGTTTGGAGATTGAGGCTTTGCCCAACTGTAAAGGGCCCAGGCCCTGAAGTGTAGTCTCGGGTCTGGGCGCAGGTACTGTGGCCCAACAGGAAGCTGCTGGAAGCTTCCAGCCATGCAACACGCAGTAAAGCAGGGGCTGCTACTTCAATATAGGAAGAAGAGCAGCCAGGGGGCGTGTGAGTGGTGAAGTGGGGGCTACTCAATATGTTTCACCGCCATTCTTCTATGGTTTTGAGTTTTCATTTTGTTTGTTTGTCAGAATGACATGAAATTTGTCCGACACAACTTTATGAGCAGGGGAATCCCACCCCTCCCCCCCCCCCCCCCCCAAAAAAAAAAAAAGAAAAAGAAGAATCTTAAAGCATTAGTACCTCGCCCAACTATCAAGTCCGAGCCTCCCGCTACAGGTGAGTCGAGCCTTGCCGAGCCTAGAGCTACCGGTAGCGGGTTTTGTTTCATTTTTGAAAAACCAAAAAACAAAAAAAAAGAAGGAAATAAAAAAACGAACATGCTTCCGAAAAAGAAATAAAGAAAAATGAAGGAATAAAACGGGAAGGGGAGAGAGAGAGAGATCGACGGGATAGTGCAGGAACTTGCAAATAGAGAATGGATCTTCCCTCCTTGTCGGGGAAGATTCTTTCTCATTTTGCACGTTTATGTGAGGGCCCGTGCCTTGGAAAAGAGAGCGAGAGAGAGAGAGAGAGAGAGAGAGGCATGTTCACTCTCTTCATGGTCAAGCAGTCCATAGAGTGAGCAAAAAGCGAATGAATCATCCCGCCTGTAGCGGAAGATTCATTCTCATTTCGCATAATAGTTGCGCACTCGCAAAAACTGCGCAGACCGCAGAGAGAGAGAGAGAGAGAGAGAGAGAGAGAGAGAGAGAGAGAGAGAGAGAGAGAGAGGCAATGCGCTGCCGCGTCAACGGCGTCGCCTCTCTCTCTCTTTCTCTCTCTCTCTCTCTCTCTCTCTCCCCCTTCATGGCGGGTTATTCCACAGAGTGAGCAAAATGTGACTGGAGACATTATCTTTTGGGCATATTCTCCTATTCGAGGACCGACCAGCAAACACTCAAGTGGATCAAAACACAGCCTGTTCTGTCTGATGCATTGAAACGTTGGATGAAAGTCATAGATCAATATGACTTCAAGCTAGGCTATGTGAACAGAGAGTACAATAAGGTTGCTGATGCATTGTCACGAAGGGCAGATTACCTTGGTGCGCTAATTATTGAATTTGGCTTATCTGACGAGCTGACCCAATCCATGTTGGATGCTTACAAGGAAGATCCCATCATGACGTCCAACATTCACAAGCTCGAGGCCAAGGACAAGGCCACGTCCGATGAGTTTGTGATAGTGGATGGGCTGCTTTGGAGTTTGTGATGGTGGATTTGCTGGTCTTTCTTTACAAGGCAGGGTTTAAACCAATAGTACCTCCGCAAGACAAAAAAAAATTCGGGAGAACTGGCGGTTTTCCTAAATTTCTTAAGTTTTCGGACCGGGAGGGTCGGCAAGCCTTTGGTTTTGGGACTTGTGGGCCCGATTGCAAAATTTTAAAAAAAAAAAGAAAAGAAGCAACAGAGTGGAATGGGAGGAAGTCAAGGAAGGTCATGGAGGAGGTTTGCTCACAGTGGTACTCCCAAGGAACGCATCTACCAAGAAACTTAGCAACTTTCATTAGTGGTCATCGTTGTTTTTCGTTTTCTTTTCATCCTCTTTTCGTGCCCTGCCAACGGATGGCTGACAACTCTGAAACTTAGGGCACAATCCCACTTGCACTTTTGTATCCAGCTGCTTTCATGTCCAAAGAGTATATGATTGCTTTTTCTCCCTTCGTACTTCTTTTTTCTTTGGCTCATCTCGTGAATACAGAGGGGGTGCAACTGCCCGTTGGGAGGGCATAGGCTCACATGTGCTCGAGATTCTGCATGCAACTATTTTCACGCCATCTTTTTCATTTTCATTTAAGATTCGAGTCTGCAGTGCGCTTTAGGTGTGTTAGGTCCATATTGGACTTAGGTTGCCTACATGTGCTGGTAAGTACGTTAGTAATCAACACGATAGCTCAGAAAGGTAAAGCGACCGGTAGACGCCGTGGAGGCTCCCGGTCAAGGAGTCAAGTTGACCCCAACGCTCCCCGATGGGAGAAGGCGGGTCTCACAGAGGACGTGTGGAGAGATCAGTACACACGGCAGGCTTGCATTCGTTGTGGTCAATACGGCCATAACCAATTCAAGTGTCGTAATAAGAAGGTGAATGAGAAGATCCCGCCTATGATGGGGCACGCGTTGGGATCCTCCCATCCCGTTGGTAGCAACGTAGCTAGTACTTCTGGCACTGCTCCGGGAAACACGTCGGGCTAGTAGGAATAGTAGTTGTCCCTGCCAGAGTCGAGGTGGTGGACACACCCTCACCATCTCGAGAGATGGCCCAAGCTACTGACTCCAGCGTCGTCCCGCAAACACATTCGGACCCATCGAGCCTCTGTTCGATGAATGTGTTCAAGTCCTTAGAGGAGCTAAAGGAGGAGTGGTCTAGATCAGACCCACTAGCAGCTTGGACGACATTGGTCAAAGCCCCGAAGGGTGAGATGTTCGTCAGCGAGGTGGTCATTGGCGGTCGCAAGGCCGGGGCCTATTATGACACTTGCTCGACTAGGAACTTCATTAGTCGCGCGTGCGTGTTGAGAGGCTGCACTTATAGGGGCAAGTGCAGCGCCTGAGTCGACCTGTGGAGCCGACCTGTGCCAACAAACAACGCATGGTAGTCAACGACTACCTCCAAGATGTCGAGTGTTGTTTCCGGTACGCGGAAGGGGAACTGAGACATCACGTCTCGTTCCTAGTGAGTGACGAACCCCCCATGGATATTTTGTTAGGCATGTACTACCCCTCTGTGGCACAGCCCCAGTTTGACTGGGACCGTAAAGTGGTCAAACACACTTTGCCAGGTGGAGGGACCGCCAGATTGCGTAAGTTCAAAGCAAGTAGTCTGGCCGAGTCCCACGGATGCATGTGTGCGGCCGCGTTCTATAATTATTATAAGCAAAATCAGGAGGAGGGTATGTACCTAGTTTATGTCTCTGCTGCAGGCGAGCCGGTGAAAATGCCGCCGGAGATAGAGGGAGTAGTTGCTAACTACCCTGATCTATTTGAAGAGCCGACAGGGGTTGTTGAGAGGGAGGTCGTCCACACGATAGAGATTATCTCAAGGTCTAGCATTCCAAAGGGTAGGATCTATCGGATGTCTTTAGGCGAGCTCGATGAGCTTCGCCGGCAACTCAAGGAACTAGTAGAGAAGGGTTGGATCCGGCCGAGTGTTTCTCCTTATGGGTCTCCAGTACTATTCGTACCTAAGAAGGACGAGGGAACACTTAGGATGTGCATTGACTATAGGGGCCTCAATGTCATCACTGTTAAGAACAGAGAGCCCCTACCGCGCATCGACGATTTGCTAGATAGAGTGCAAGGGTGTCGGTACTTCAGTAAGATAGATCTGAAGTCCGGGTACCATCATATTGCAATCCAGCCCGAGGATCAACACAAAACTGCATTTCAGACCAGGTACGGTCTGTACGAGTTTGTGGTGTAATGCCTTTCGGTCTTTGCAATGCTCCTGGCACCTCTCAGCACGCTATGAATCGGATCTTTCATGACTGCTTGGATAAGTTTGTCATCGTGTACCTCGATGACATACTTATTTTTACTAAGACTGTCGAGGAGCACGTTGCGCACTTGGACAAAATCCCAAGTCTTATGCGACAACACAAGTTCAAGATCAATGGTGAGAAGTGCGAGTTTGGCCGCACCCGTGTCTTGTACTTGGGTCATGAGATGTTCGCGGAGGGATTGAAGCCCGATGCCGCGAAGGTGGCCAGCATCCGTGACTGGCCGCGTCCTCAGTCTGTGACTGAGATGAGGTCTTTCTTAGGGATGACTGGCTACTACCGCAACTTCGTGAAGAACTATAGCATAGTTGGCGCCTCTTTGACTGATCTGACGCGCCTTGACACCCCATGGGAGTGGACTGAGAGATGCGAGGCTGCTTTCAGACATTTGAAGCATGCGTTGACGCATTATGAAGTCTTGAAACTTCCTGATCCTGACAAGCCATTTATAGTGACTACGGATGCTAGCCAATATGGCATAGGCGCCATACTTGCACAACAGGAGGGAAAAAAGTTGAGGCCAGCTGAGTACATGTCCAAGAAAATGCCGTCTCAAAAGTTGGCTAAGTCCACCTATGAGAAGGAACTCTATGCGGTTTACAAGGCTCTGACCCATTGGAGGCACTATCTCCTTGGGAGGTCCTTCATCCTCAGGACTGATCATCAGACCCTGAGATGGATGAGAACTCAGCCGGTACTCTCTGACGCTCTCAAGCGTTGGATCGAAGTCATTGAGCARTATGACTTTGACCCKCAGTATCTGAAAGGGGAGTACAACAAGGTTGTTGATGCCTTGTCGCGTAGACCTGATTTCTCAGGTGCGCTGATTACTGAGTTCGATCTTGCGGACAATGTTACTCAGTCCCTGGTGGAAGCCTATCGCGAGGATGTTCATGTCTGAGATCATCCGCGGACTCGAGGCGAAGGACAAAGTGACTTCTGCCGAGTTTGAGTTGGTCAACGGCTTGCTGTTCCTTGAGAAGGCTGGGAATAAACGTTTGTGTGTTCCTAATAGGGAGTCTTTGCGTAGTCTATTTTTAGGAGAATGTCATGATGCCACCGGACATTGTTTGGCTTTAAGAAGACTGCAGCCAATCTGTTGCAGCGGTTCTGGTGGCCCACATTGATGAGAGATGCTAAGTTGTACATGGAGACTTGTCAGGTCTGTCAGAGGGACAAGCCACGTACTCAGGCTCCTCTTGGGCTCCTGAAGCCCCTTCCGATTCCGGAAAGGCCTGGTGAGAGCCTGTCCATGGACTTCATGGATACGCTGGTCACCAGCAAGAGTGTAATGCGCTACATCTACGCCATTGTGGATAGGTTTAGTAACTTTGCTAGGTTAGTTGCAATGTCGGCAACAGCTAAGACGGAGTATTCATTGCCTCCTGAGATTTTCCTGGGTTTCCTTTCTTTCCTCTTTCCCCCTGGTCTCCTCCTCGACCCTTACCTTGTCCTTGCCCTTGAGAAGTCTGGTCACTGTCTCCAATGCGACGGTATCACCATCAATTTTGGTCTCAAAGTGAAGTAGATAAGCCATCATGGCCTGCAGTATGGAAGCAACATCAATTTCCGTTTCCTCGTAATGAAATTGTTGCCTCATTTCATCCAACATCTTTCTTGCTGTTGTTTTTCTTCTTTTTTTTTTTTTTTCTTAAGAAAATTTGGACCATTTCTCGATTTATGCGTGTAATCCTTGCGCAGGGGCTTTGCCAATCTTCTCTGTATCGTTCCAATTTTAACGGATGTCCCGAGGGACTGTGTTCTTTTTCTTCTTTCTTTCTCTGGTATTCTTCTTTCTTTCTTCTCTCTTCCTTAAGTGAATTTTCTAATTGTTTGACGTTCTCCTCCATGATTTCTTTCTGGTTCTTTCTTTTTCTCTCCTTCTCCTCCTCCCCCTGTTCTCTTTTTGTCCATCTTCTCCAGATGTTCGGCAATATAATGATCAAGGGCTATTCGCCCTTGCCTGATGAGTTCCTCGACTCACTTATCGGTTTCCAGCATTTGAATGTCAGTCTCAGCGGCCTTCAGTTCATCTTCTGCAGCAAGCAGATTGAATTGTCTGTGAACATGCCGTTCAGATTCTGACCCGGCTCCATGTATCTCGCAGAGCAACTGGCGGAGAAGGCCTATTCTCGCATCTATCTGACCACGGGTTTTCAAGACCTCTCCCTCTTCGTCAGCATAGACGAACCAATCGTCCTTATCGTTGTAAAATTTGAGCACCTGGTTTTGCTGATTTACAAGGGCTTGATTTTATGTTGAAACATCACATGCTCGCAGATGTGGTTACTATCATAGGTACTCAGGATATTGTGTTTGGAGAAGTAGATAGGTAACACATTGTGCCATATAATAAGCTCTCGAAGAGAGGAATGTATCTTGTAAGAATGGAGGCACACAGACATTTCCAGAGACAAGTCATGTTTTCCAGCACGTGATTGCCGCAAAATAAATAATTAGAAGACAAATAAATTCCACGGCCACACTCAAAATCTCAACAGCAAGAAATAGCAACGAAAATAGAAAAGAAACAGATTTCTATTATTATCTACTTCTAACTTCTGCTCTGTCCTATGTGTGATGACCTCCTAACGAGAGTGCACAGGTACCGCAGCCACGTCCAGTGTGATCAAGACACAACAACACAGGTGAGTATGCAAGACAACCACAGAATACCCAAGACAAGTAAGTCAGCCAACACAATCAACAACAATCAATTGTCAGCATTCTCGCCTCTACGGCTGTACTATCTGCAGAGCCAATGCAGCCAGACACAAAGGCCGGTACGTGGCACTACAGCAAATCGTGAAGCTGTACCACCTGCCAGCACACAAGTGGAAGTATCAACACCTCACCCACAGCAGCGTGCCAAACATGCCATGTGTCACCCCTGGAATGCCAACGCAGCACATGTGCCACGTCAGCGTCAAGAGCCAGCACGGCCTTCTGGAGGGATGCTACGTCAGCAATGCTTGGAATGCCAACTCATCCAACATTGGTATGCCATGTCAGATCGAAGGAACACTGCTGGAGTGTGGAGAGCCACGTCAGCAGGTAAGTTGCAACACAGGTACGTGCCACGTCAGACAATGCCCTGCCAATAGCAGGATGCCACGTCAGCAACCCTACCCCATGCCATGTAGGCAGCGGGCCACGTCAGCTGTCCCAATATCCTCTCTCTCTCTCTCTCTCTCTCTCTCTCTCTCTCTCTCTCTCTCTCTTGCGCGCGCGCGCGCGCGTCTACCAGCACCACGTCAGCGTGCTGCCAACGATACTCTCACCCGTATTTCAATGCCACAGCAACAAAGCGCCACATAAGAATGTCGCCGGCGTCCTCTTCAAAGTGTCCACGCCATCATCTTCAAGGGGGGCTGCATGCACGTTTGGCACTCAATGTCTAGACTCGCGATATTAAGCGCGTGCGTTTATAAACGCACGTGCGGCACCTCCCGCTTACGTGGGTGCCACGTGGCCCCTGACAGCAGATTGCGACGAAGAAGGCCTGCTCTGACACCAAATTGTAATGAACCCAGTCTGTAAGATACTCGCCAGATGTCGAAATACGAAGTAACTCAACTCTGAACAATGCCCCCAATAATCATGAATGTGATCTCTGATACAATGTCTCGTTTCCAGTAGACGAAGAGAGTGGAGGGGGAATAGACAGAGTTGAAGGTGGAAGAGAAAGTAATCATCAATGACCACACAGAGAGTAGCTCAACATTCCCACTGCTTCTCCGGGCTTCCCTCGCCTCTACATCAGCAGAACGGTATCCAGTAACGAGCCTGACAAATCTTGATCACATTGAAGTTCCACACGGCACAATTCTCTCGTGGAGATGTTGGAGACACCTCAGGTAAGTATCCCGAACCTCCTCAATCATCCACAGATCCCGATCTTCCTCCTTGTTGTGTCCAGTCACCCGATGTAGATAGTGTGGCCAATGCCACATCAGTGATGAAGACAGGTGGCATGCGCCACATCAGCAATGAAGACAGGTTGCATGCGCCACATAAGCAGAGGCTGGCGCTCAGTAGAGAAGGCGCCAGCATGCTACCTCAGTCCCACGTCGTCGTCCACAGTGCCATCACACAGCCAGCGTCCGGCCAGCGTCAAGCCAGCGTCAAGGCAACATGGCAAGACTGAATGTCGACCCCCTGGAGGCAGGGTCTCATGTAGTAATTGACCAAGTTGACCTGCCTCAGGTCTCCCACTCACGGTGGCCCAGATTGACTCGCAGCCGAGGGCCTGGATTGTGTACTGTTACAGACTTTCACTTGGCCCTGATGCTGTCTTGACCGGCGGCCTGGGCTGGGTCAACAAGGGAATCTTTCCCCCTGGCCTTTGCTGCCTCAGACCGAGGTCGCGTCCTGCGTGTGGCTGGAGGGCCACTTCAGGGCATATCAGGCGGGGTATTGCAGCTGTTTTTCCGGGCACCGGGCACCCAACTTATGCCTAGGTACACACCCGGGTGCTCGGCCGGGCAATGTTCCCCGGGCAGAGTTCCTGCAGCCCCAACGCCAAAAAACGAAATTGATAAAAATTCAAAAAATTCCGGAAAAAATGTAGAATTGCAGTACAAACGAATTTTTGGATGAGGGTCACATTAGAATTCCTCACAGAATAGGAGATAAAGAAAATAACAGAATCACGCTAAGGCACCCCCCTTTAAACCCCTTTTGCCCCTTTAAAACTAATTTATACCCCCCTCCCCCCCAGCCCCTTGACAGCCAACTCGCAAAAAAAGAAATGACCCGGATTTGGGGTGCTCTGGGAGAGCGCAAAAAAACAGAAAAAAAAGCACTTTTTTAAAGTTTTTTTTTTTTTTGGCACGCCCGGGTATCCGGGGCTTGCAGGACCGGCCAGGCGTGAGGATCTTCCTCGTATAAAAAGAAATAACCAAACCACATCTACAAGCAGCAGCCTTAAAGCACCAGTACATGGCCACAGCCAAGTTGAGAGTTCGATTGATCCCCTCCTAAAATTTTGGAGGCCTGCATGCCATTGATAAAATAAGTTGATGCCGGGCGGTCTCCGAAAGGGGCCGGGGCCAATGTCTGGCATGAAGTGGTGGTTTAAACCCAAAATGGTCTCGTCAAGTAATATGACCCATGTACCGGCTGGCATGAACTGGTGGACAGTGTGTTCAAAAGTGGAACCATACCGGTTGTGATATCCCCTACTCCTGCAAGGCTGTGGTGTCCAACTTGACACAGACCACAGACAACACCGCACACAACAAAACACAACAGCACACGGAATTGCAGACGCGAAGCGTCTGCTCACACAGGCCCGGCAATACTCCCACACTTGGCTCCAATCAGCACTTGACCCCCACTGGTACTTAGCCCACTCACACACACGGGTCTTGACTTGCCCATGGTTTCACGGGAGCCTCCACAGTAGTTATAGATCCGTACATCTGGGCCCTAGGCTGCCCTCCGTGCAAAGCACGGATTTGAATCAGCGACCTCGGCCCCAAGAGCCAAGTCTCTTAACTACTACAGCCAGGACATGCTGTTCAAAAGTGGAACCATGCCGGTCGTGATACCCACCCCACCCCTGCAAGGCTGTAGTGTCCAACTTGACACACACCACACACGCATAACACAGATGCGGGAATTCTCACACACTTTGCTCCAATCAGCAAGCCATGGAATCCAGTAGCCAAAAAGGATGTAGACTAATTGTAGAGCCATATATCTCATCAGAAATGGTTAAAGGTGCTTGTACATATTTTTGTGCTGGGTAGCTCGCAAGAGCATGGGTGCTTCTACGTATTCCATCAGTGGAAGCCGTCCCGTGCTGTGTTGCTCATAAGCTGGCATGTTCCATCAGCGCAAGCCATCCCGCGCTGCGTGGCTCGTAAGCTGGTGATACGTGATGCCGGCATCGTTCTGGGGCCTGCATTACTGTCCACGTGTCAAGCAGGCGGCGGGCGATCACTGAATATTGTAAACACTCCCACGTAGATGAGTCAAAAGCGCATTTGCTTTTTTAAGAATTGAAACAAAAACTCGTTACTAGATCACGGAGTAACCGAGTGTCTTGTTTTGGATTAGTTGTGGGTGTCATTTCAATCCGCCTTAGAGGCGCCTTCTAGGAAATCCATGGATCAAGGTGATCTTCTCCCATGGCTGCTCATCTTTGTTCTACACTGTAGAAAGATAAATCTATGTGATGCATATTAGATCAAATTCAGATTTCTCAAATTCTTAAATATGCATTGCTAAAGAAAGGTCTGTAATTACCTGGATTACTAAACAAATATCAGCAAGAGATCCAAAACCCCACCGCTGATAACTGTGGTATTTTTCCAGTATTTTACGTAATTTTAATGGTGTGTATGACCGGGACATGCGTCGGAGCTCAAACCTTTCGGGTTAGTACTCTGGTGTTCCATCGGGGATTTAATGAGGCCTTTGTTCGCTGATTTTGTGTGTGTTCCATGCAGGCAAACGGTGAGTTTGAATGGTAAACAACTTTTGACCTGTTGAGAGTAGAGAGCGGTGCATCTTGCCCCCTTCCATGGTGTTCGGGTGAAACCTGTTCGAGGGATGGTTTGTGTAGTGCCTCTGTGACGGGTGTGGGTGATCAGGAGACCAGCACCGGGACAGAAACGCTGTGCTGAGTAGCCTGACTGTCAGAGCAGTTGGGGCATCAGAAGGATCGAAAACATGGAGGCTGTCTTCGATGCAACTTTGGAGAAGCAGAGGCTTGTGAGATTATCAACAGGAGACGGGAAAAGGCGCAAAGTGAGGAAGATATTATTTTCAGCTTGTTGAGGGATGAAAGGTGGGATGGAGGTGAAGTTTAGTTGCTTTGCAATTGTAGCAAATGTCCTAAAATGTCGCGGAGGACCAAATAGGTCCAGTCCGTTCAGATCGGGGCTTTGGTGAATGTTTTTTTGTCCTCGCCAAATAGGTCCAGTCTGTTCAGATTGGGGCTGAATGTTTTTGTCCTTTCTTCTTTGTTGCTTGGGAATGTCATTTGTCTGAAAATGAGGAATTCACACGTAACACGAGTTCCATTTTGAGATGGCATTAATTATGCCATCAGAGGCTTCCTGCAACTGCAAGAAGGTCGAGAGGGGAAGGGTGACCTTGTGCGTCTATTGTAGACAGATAAGTCTCTCTCTCTCTCTCTCTCTCTCTCTCTCTCTCTCTCTCTCTCCTGTCTCTTATACACATCTAGATGTGTATAAGAGACAGCGTGTGCACACAAGGGTAGAGGGGCCTCGGCTGCGAAGCACCAAAGAGGAGCCTATTGCTCATCCTGCTTTGTGTGAGTTGTCTCCGCATTTATGTTTTGTCCATGAAGAGTCAATGAAGGTTATATTTTTGCAGACGCCTGGGCAATTGTCAGTGCTTTTCCTGTTTTAGAATTTTATGAACAGTGAAGCCCCTAACTTTATTGTGTTAATCTGATGGTAATCTGGATCCCAGCCCATGTTCTCTTTTGGTAACATGTGTGTTCCATTCAGCTGCATGGACTGTGCAATGCATTGTTTTCCCGCCTCACTCGTCTGCTGCTTTTCCACTCTACCTGTGCAATTGCTGTAAGATGGACAGGCCGATGATCAGAAGTCCCCGGCTATGCTATTTGTCAGCCAAATGTGCTGCTCTGACCCTTTTCCGCTCTCTACCCGTGGCTATACTGTGTGTCGGCCTGCTGTGCTGCTCTGCCGCTTTTCTACTCTCTTTCTACTCTCTACCCATGCGATCCCTGTGGAGATGGACAAGCAGGTGATCAGAAGTCCCTGGCTGTGCGCTGTGTGTCAGCCAGATTGAGTTTTGCTGTAAAGCTACATGAAACTGCAAATGATTGTGAGAGCTTTCCTGAGGAGGGTGTCGGGCGGTTCTCAAGACTGGAAAAGTGCAAGGAAACATGGCTCTGCTTCCATTGCCCCTGGGGAGAATTGATGTTGAAACGATCCAGGATCTCCGCGTTTTTTCAATTTGCGACCATTATATCATTGACTTCGTATTCCATCATGCATGCTTATCCGATCCCTCAGCCTCCTGGCCACAGGTTGACATCACCGTTGCCTTTTGTGTTCGTATACCACCAGTCCAATCAAGGCTTTTTCTTTTTATACGCGCTACGCTGCCTGACCTTTTAACTGAGCAATGGTGATCATTCCGGGTTTGGCAAACAATTTTTTTTGTGGCGCTTCGACTGGCATGGACCTGCTGTGTATGGGCCGGTTGTGGATTTGTATGTACTCGTATTGGTGAGGTAAGGGTACCCTCTTGAACAGCAGTCTCTCAAGAGTCGAATGGTATAGTCACTCTGAGATATACTGAAGCAATGCCCGATATAGTCTGCCGTCATTTTTCCTTCTGCTGTGCAGCACTCTCCCTCCTTCATCCAGGTCAGGCGAGGGCATCTCTCTGGGGCTGCATGTCCAATCCGAGAATCGAACGCACTACCAACGGCTTTTCGGACGAACACCTATCCAATAGGCTAAGGGGGCAGCGGTTGGTCATCGTGCATCCGATGAAGGCAGCAACGTATGGAACAGAGTTACTGGTTGCAGTGCAGTATACTATCTTTCTTTATTGGGGTGCAAACCCCCTGTTCGCACGTATATGATGATGTTATGTGTGCCACAGGGAACTCTGCGATAGTCTGAGGTTGGAGCCGCGAACCTCTGAAACGTGGTTCAAGCAGGGGTGTTTTTCTCTGGATGCGAGCAGAGCCTCTCAAGGAAATCTGGGAATGTGGTATAGTCTCACTCGTTTTTAGATGACGGGTGGCCGCAGGTCCAGGTCCAACCCTCCAGAACAAGTACAGTGATGCCGTGCTGGAAGTTTTTTTGGGGGGGGAGAGGAAGGAGAGAGGTGTGGCTTGTTCTGTCCAGGCACCTGAGCGGCGTTTGATGTTTGCATGAGCAGAAAGGCTTGAAACTTGTCAATCACCAATATTTTCTGGTGAGCTCCTGGGCAAGAAATTGCCAGCCCTGCCATCCGTTTCCATCCAGTAGTCCAGATCCGCAGTTTCGCGGAGTGGGAACGGCTTGTTTGGAACAAGATAGCTGGCAAGCACTTTTGGAAACCGCCTGTAGGTGGCCCCGCCACGGCGTTAAACCTCCAATACTTGGCCCATACACTGGCTGCGGGCCTTGCACGTTAATGTGCCACATCTTGTGGGCTTTGGGGAGAGGAAGGAGAGAAGGGGGGGCGGGGGGGGGGTTCGCAAAGGCGTCCCCTCTAATCGTAAGATTAGAGTGTGCATCCAAGAATGCAATATTCTTTATTCGACATATTCAAATTCAAGAAGAATATTTCCTATGGAAGGTTAGTGCACTGCAAGCAATATGACCTTCGGTACCTTCTGAAAAAAGTAGAAACTTGAAATACAAAAGTGTTATTTCAAAGTCATGCTCTCACTCAACTAACAGAAATTCATAAAATAACACATGACAAAAATAAATTAGCTTTTCGACATTGATGGTTGAATCATCTTACATCATTCTCATTCACTATCTGATGGTTATGCTATGAACAGCACAGTTCATCACCAATGAGGGCATACGCAGTCATGCATCAAGCACAAGTGAGATGACACGAGTTTCCACACTGGATGCCAGAGAGTCGAAAACCAGATAGCGCAGCTTATAACTTCCAGCAAATTATCACAAGAGCAATAAGAGTTCAAGTCACCAGCACTCATCATCGCATACAAAGGTAACCAGTAACCAGCGTCAGCTCTCAGGTAAGTATTTCTTTCCAACTCTTCTTCTCTCTGTGTCTTTCTCTCTCTCTCTCTCCGGTCTTCTCTCTAGCTATGTCCTCGCTGTCTTCTCTCCCCACATGCATGCACACTCACTAACTACTAAAGGATCTTTGGATACACCCACTGCTATGCCTACTAACTACCACTAGCTAACACTAACACTCTGCATTGGTGCAGCTCTGGCTGCCTTCTCCCTGCCAGTGCCAACTCTCCCTCTCTCTCTCTCACTTAGCGCAGCACCCTGGCTCAGTGCTCCGCTCTTCCCAATAGCGGACAAGTGCACCAGCACTTCCACACGTCTTGCAAATGAGCAATCTGTCTCATGAAGAGGCTGGCCAGTCCTTATCTTGTCTTGGACTGAACTTCAACTCGTCCAGCCTCTGCTTCTTGGGGCTTGACTTGGTTCCGGTACCACATCCCCACGGCCTGTTTGCTTTCGAATGTCAGGCCTGGTACTGTTCCCGAATTTCCATTGGTGTGCTGCTGCTTGGGCCTTTGAGCCACTATTTTTCGATTGTGGCACATGACTTTTGACTGGGGTTTGTGACTCCTGCCTCTGGGACACGACTTTTGCCTGAGGTCGTGACTTTCCAATACGACTTTTCATTATGAGGCGTGACTTTTGCCCTTGGGATGTGATTGTTAGCCGGGTGCCTGTTGGACTTGACTGCTAAGGTCCCCGACTGTGACTTTTCTGAAACTGACCGTCTTGGCCTTTCTCGGCGGGTCTGAATCGTAGAAGGCCTTTCAGTTAGATGATGGGTCAATTATTTCACTAGGGCGAAAGGGAGTCTTATGTACTGATGGTTTTGACAACGATTCTGTGAAACTTTTGGGCTTTTAGCTCATTATTTGGAAGCTGTTTTGAATGTTTACACACACGTGGGACCCATCCAAAGAGATTGTAAATAGGGGAATTATAGTAAAATATATTATCGACTCTGGTTCGGAACAGAAGAACTCAGAAGAAAAAGTCTCTTATGTTGCAACAATATTTTGTTTATATGTTGTACCCAACTCACTCTTTATGTGGTTATTTGAATCGATTAACTTAGATTCATTGACTTCAGTGAATGAATAACTGTCTTGATGCCAGCTTTGGTTGGATTTAGGCTCGCCAGAGTTCATATGCAAGAGCCGAATAACGGGAGTTGAAGCCGTGTTTTTAAATTCACAATCTGACACTTTGTCGTTGTCCGAACCGACAAAGTGTTTTAGTCAGTGAGTTCACCATTTTCACCAAGCGAGTATGCTCACTGTCGGATGTGAACCGGTAACCTGTAGGAATAGATTCAAGTGTGTCGTGTTTACTATTTTCACCAAGCGAGCTTGATTTCAAGCTAAACAGGCCCAATCATGCAAAACAATTTGCAAAATACCTTCATAAGTTCAGATATAATGCCAAAATACCCCTGAAAGGCATGGGTAGAGCGGAATGCCCGCTTGGGCCGAAATCTGTGTTGTGGCCCTGTCAGGCGGGTGTGCAACTTTGCAATCTGGACCTCCCCGTTTTGGGCCTTGGCCTTCCTCAAAAGCGCCTAGGAGAAGTTGGCAAGTACCGGGGCATTTTGCAAAGTCGGATGGTACCCCATAGGGGTATATTGCAAAGATGGGCCGATGCCAAGGGGGGGATTTTGCAAAGTTGGATGGTAACTCAGTAGGGGTATATTGCAAAGATGGGCCGATGCCGAAGGGGGGATTTAGCAAAGTTGGATGGTAACCCCACAGGTGTATATTGCAAAGATGGGCCGAAGCCAAGGGTATTTCACAAATAAACAATACAATTCGAGTGTACCATCTTCAAAATTGGGAAGAAATGAGAATAAAATACACATCCAAATTAATCCTAAATTAAAATGAAATAATAAATTTCTAAAAAAGCCTATCAAAAATTGTCAGAGGGGCATTCCGCTCTTTCCACATCTTTTAGGGGCATTTTGGCATATATCTCAACTTTATGGGGGTATTTTGCAAATTATCCCATACACTTATTATCACCTTACCTCTTCTCGGTAGTTTAATAGCAGGTGTGTTTGGTCGCTCTCTTGGTTCACGAGGGGCCGCCTCAAGTCTGTGCCTGTAAGTTTCCAGTGGAGACAAAACTTCGTAGTTTTAAAACGAACACGCGCAGCTAACTAAATGCCATAAAGGCTGCTTGCATTCGGGCTGGGTTGGTGGTGATTTCTATATGTATATTTTTACCACCAACGATAGAGAAAAGATACGATTTGATTCAGCCAATTTATGAAGATCATCTGTTTTTTTCCTAGCAAATCCTTGTTTTTTTGAAGCATTATGTAGTTCATCAGAACATTGATCTGGACTTCAAGAATCCACCAAAGAGCGAAGGTTTCTTGATTATTCTCTTTGGTATAATGGATAATTGTGGCCCGTTCTGTCCAGGCAGCACCTAAGCGGCGTTTGATATTTGCTTGACCGTAAAAACTTGAAACTTGCCAACCACCAATGTTTTCCGGTCTCCCCTGGACAAGAAAATGTCAGCCCTCCCAGCCCTTGAGGTCCAGTAGTCCAGATCCACAGTTTCGCGGAGTGTTAACAGCTTGTTTGGGACAAGATAGCTGGGAAGCACTTTCGGAAAGCGGCTGTAGGCGGCCCCACCATGGCTTTGAACCACCTGTACTTGGCCCAAACATTGACTGCGGGCCTGGCACGTTAAAGCGCCATGCTTGTGGGCTTGGGGGTTCCCGAACCACATTGGCTGATGGCATGCGGCCGCCGGCCGAAAAAAATCAAAAAACGAGTTGTGCGGATGGTTCGTCAAAACTTGGTGTGCAGGGCGTCTTAGGCTTGGCATCAATAGCTGGGCTAAGTACTGGTGTGGTTTAACAGGGGACTGTGGAAAGGCTTGGTATCCACATCTGAAAAGGAGGTGGGGGGTACACCACAAATTGTTTGTGGTGCAATGCCTCAAATGTCCTTCGGCCTGGGAAAACCACTGCAGTGAAACCTTCTCGTGTCTGAATTTTCCACTGCTGCTGTTTGCTGCCTGGGTGGTACATAAAAATTGCAGCCTCCATGTTAAAATGTCGGAGGGTGGCACATGCACCTCAAAGGCCTGCTGTCTGCGTTGGGAGAAGGCTGGCCAGCCCAGGTTAGAAGGATTTTTGCTAGGGCAGGCCAAAAGGCTTGGTACAAGTGGCTCATGTACACGGGGTGTGTAACGAACACAATTCTAGAAGATGGCCTGGGCGGTTGTGGTAGAATCGTGGCCTGGACAAGCCAGATTTTTCAAACCACAAGTACCCAACCCAGACAAAGTTTCTCAACTCCCTGAATTCTAACGAGGTCCGACGCAGGCCCAGTATGGTGGAGCCTCAATATGTGGAGGGTGGTTGTTCGTTTCCAAAACAACCGAGAAAGGACTGCACGGATTAGCACAGTAACACAGAAAATCGAAGAGAGAGTCTTGCTTGCTCATGAGGCCTGGCGTCCGTGCAGGGAACTCCTCTTGTGAACTTCTTCCACAGCTGGTGCGGTCGTAGATGTTGCCTCTTCTAGCAGTTGCGGCTGCAACCTTCGTTGGTACTCGTGGGTTTGTTTTTCTTCAGGGGCAGTCAAGGTTGGACTTGGTCGTCGTCGTCGTCGTCGTTTTTGTGGTGATGTGCCTCTAGGCCCTAGCTGCACCGACACCAAAATCTTCACCCCGTTGTCATTCGTCATTGGTGTCCCTCAAATTGCAT